AGGAACAGTCCGAACAGAGTTAAGATGAACATGCGGCATTGTGTTCTATTGAAGCAGAACCCTGAGAGGCCCCTCTGTGCTACAGTGGACGTGCTTGTTCAAAGACGGTATGCTCCTGAAGCAAACTATCCTGTATGAGGGGTCCCCACTCCCCTCCCTCCAACCGTCCCCCCTCACCCCTGTTCTCTGTTCTCTCTGATCCTTATGACAAACATAATCCATATTTGGCGAAGTCTTTGAGGATGACTCCAATTCTAAGGCGAATCACACCTGTCGGTCTCGTCTGCAATCGAAATCGATCCATTGGGGAGAATATAACCTCTTCTGTCCTCAGCCTAGGTCCTCCACCAACAAAAGCGTAAGTGATCCGCTCAAGAAGTGATCCCTCAGGAAGCCATGCCACACAGTCCAGGTCAAACATTCCAGCTTCAGTTGGAATATGGCAGAACCCATAACCGCAAACGCTTGGACGCCCATGGTCATGATGATGCCAGACCTGGAGGGCCAATCTGGGCCATCCAGAGAGGCCGCGGCAACAATAATGAAGGTCCAACGGATGAGCCCACACAGCTTCGTCCGAATCACATGGGTAATCTACATGTGTCTGACCTTGACCATTACCTTCCAGAAGGTCCCAATTCGATCCAGATACGGCCATCCATTTGCAGAAGACTGGATTTCGGAACCCAGTCCCACTTGAGATCTCTCCCAACACGTGTACCTCGGCCATTGACAAGTCGATCGCTCATGTAGTAGCAGGATTAAATCCTCATCATTCTCTACTGTTCTCTGGCGCCTTCCCCCACTCCTAGTCCTGCTGCTACTTTAGCTAAACTGCATTCAACTCATTAGTCTCAGCCTAACTGATTGCCTTGAAACTTCTCCACCTTCTTTGGACTCCCCCCAACTCCACCCTCCAAGCCTCCCTGCCGGCCCCCAGCCACCGCATCCCGGCTTCCATCCACCCTTCCCTCTCCCTCTCATCCCCCTCAAGCGTACACAGATATCGAAGAAAATCAATGCGACTTTGGCTCTGTCCCTGTCACATCAGAACCTCGTGGTTACTTTTGCTATCATACCTGCAGGACGGCCAACAACACCGTGGACCAGGTTTTATATGACCTAGGCTGTATCGCAACATCCGAACCTCGTTCTTAGTTTTGCCGTCATAGCCGCATGGCAAACAACAACACCTTGGATTTGGGTTTATATTACCCAGGTGGTATTGTTGAACACTGTGCATCAGGTTTTTACGGCCTATAGTCGAAGTGGTCGCAAGCTTTTCCCACCATCAAGGTTGCCATCTCTGCCTGGCTTTGTCACACCCTTGCAAGGACTGGTCATCCACCGTTAGCCGTTATCCGTGGCGTGACAGACCATTGACATTTCCAGACAACAGCTCTGTGTGACACTTGTAGTTGATAGTGATCGTTCTCTACGTGGCAGGCAAAGGCATTGTAACAACAACGAATGCAATGGATGGTAAGTTCCCTCGCATGCGACGGATGGTAAGTCTCTTTGAATGGCTGGATGGTGAGTTTCCTCGAATGCTATGGCTGACTCTTCATGGTGCTGATGAGCCAGCATTGTGATAGCAGACTGTCTAGGTGATTGGCCATCAAGCTATGCTGCTGCTGCTGCTGATGATGATGATGATCAAAATGCCATCATTAGCAGGCAAGGTCAGTCATTTGCAAATGTTCTCAAAAGGTTGCTGTAGAAGATGGTTAGACCACCAGTAGCTTTCCCATACGTCGGCCGCGGGCACTGTGCGCCGGCCCGAAAATCAAGACTGGCCGCCGATTCGATTTATCGGCAGCCGCCCTTCCGTTTCAGGCCAGCGGGTTACCCGGCACGCCTCTGAAAAAATAGCTGGGAAAGGTACTGGTGGTTTAACTTCTGTGAGTGGGAGTCCCATAGATGATGCTCATCCTCTGCAAGGAACTGCATCCATGCAGCCACGGGCTTCCCTCAGTAGCAGCTGACCACATGCGTCCTCCCTCCGATCCAGCTCCATCTTTTCATCTTGCACTGGGGGTCCTGTAGATGACACTCGTCCTCTGCAAGGAGCTGCATCCATGCAGCTGCAGGCTTCCTTCAGTAGCCGTGACCACAAACATCCTGCCTCCCATCCAGCTCCATCTCCTCATCTTGCACTGTACCGTCTCAGCCACATTAACCACAAGCATAGTACAGTGGGCGCAGGCAATACCACTGTTCAGTGGACAGGTTTGAAATTACATTTTCTCGTGATGGTACCATCAGACGGAATTAGCGGTCTTTGTCTGGCACCTTGAATCGGAAAAGATAATATTCTCTCGGCCCAGTCGTACACTCGTCTGTTGGCGTTCATCCTCTCTGATGAGTCAGTGAAAGTCCAACAGAACGGTCTGGCACAGTCATGCTCTTTTTTTGTGGAGTCGTGGATTGAGAACATGACATGACACGTACATTTAGGCAACAGCAACAAAACACACTTCTGCACGTATTGCCGGTTTTATCAGAGGTTTTCTAAGGTTGCAACATTGTTGTGAGTAAAATTGGCCACTACCGTCTTCCCCCCGTGCCCTCATTATGAATGTATAGAGGTTAGGTTTCTGGTCCGATGCACTCAAAATGAGGGTGCGTTGTGTTCGGCGGAAGACGGTAGGTGGGGCTCCTAAGTTACCGCGTACTGGAGATATGTCACGGATCCCTTCTGTGAGAGGTAGGATAGTGCGCACGAAGTATGTGGGGACAGACAAAGGGCGGGATCTGGGCGCATGCTATTCTATTTCGACAAAAGATATGGAGACTGACTACAATGAGTCTGTTCGTGGTACCTCCATCCCATTGCATCCAGGCACATAACAGCGGGATCACATTGTGTGCAGGTACATAACAGAGGGTTATAGCAAACTGGGATACAAACGTATGGCAGATTATGTCCATAGTCAAGTGTGTCTTCAACCACCAATAGGCAGCAGACTGCCTTGCAATACATCAGAAAAGACAAGGCCGTGGAGGTAATGACTTGGGAGTGATGAACATGTTGGCAGATCGGGATTTGCACTGCATGTTAGAGTCAGACTGAGATTGGATCGACTTTTTGTGCCATTATTTGTTTGTCTTTTTTTGTTTCATGAAGGGCTGGGGACCGCAACATGGTGGCAAAATCATTCTTCCACGTGGATACCAAGTCCTTTGATGAATTGAAGTGAACGACAGAAGCGGCCTTCGTTTCTTTTTAGCTTCAGCCTTCAGTATAGTCACAATTTCAGACCCATCCTTTTTGGGCACATGTATAAATTCACGATCAGGGTGCAATGTGTTCATAGGGGCAAATACTGGGGCAGAACTGACAAAGACCCAATCCTAGTCATTCTCTCTCTCTCTCTCTCTCTCTCTCTCTCTCTCTCTCTCTCTCTCTCTCTCTCTCTCTCTCTCTCTCTCTCTCTC